ATCCTTCTCCAGCGACTGTTTCCTCCTGACAATATGTCCAACTTGGTAGTTAATTAGCAAAAGGAGCATACCTTACTGTTAGCATTGTAAACCTGGAGTTTTACTTTTCAACTAAAGCACTAATAGTGACACAAATTACAAATTGAATTACTAGATTGACAAACTGACTTAAATTTTTATTAAACAAATTTTGTCTTACCTCCTCTACATCTCGAATAGTTTCTGTTTTTGTCAGTTTGCATTTTCTGGAAAACAAAAATATAAACTGGAGTGATGTATAAAATTTCATTATTTAGATGGAAAATGAAAAATAAAAATAGTATACTACAGCCATAACATAAATTAGAAACAAATTACCTAAATCAGTGAAGAATGGTAGTTATAGTTAATATACATAGGGCCCAAATTATTACAATCTATGTAAACACCTCCTCTTTGGTACGTGAAAATTTGATGTAGTCTTTTTCTCAAATAGAAAATCAACAGACACCTTATCTCCTAAGATCCTACCCTATATGGCTTACTTAATCATGTTGCATGTTTCAGTAACCCACAAAATTTTCTTATGTCTAAATAAGTCAACTCTAACAGCTTCAGTATGCGTTTCTTGGTTGTGGGAGAATTGATTTAACTTAATTTTGCCCAGTCAGTCACTTTCATATTTTTATTATTTTCTAGCATCAATAAAGTTTAAGAAGGGGGGAGGGGGAATTTAACAATCAATACCTGCAGCCAATGGTTTTCAAAAAACAGATGATCAAAATGATAAAGACAGCACAAATAGGAAGAGTGATATACAGAATAGTATGTATTTCTAATCTTCTTTTACCTGTAAATATAGAAACAAACAAAAAAAAATGATGTATTGCAACACACGAAATTCTTTTCTCTGATCTTATTTGAAACACATCTGTCCCATTAGAAGTTCTAATTGCTATGATGAAATTGTTTTAAAAATTCAATATCCAGAATTTCCAGAAAGACATCATCTTATGTTAAGAACTTCGTGCTTTTAAAGAAAAGAATTCAGGAAAAGTGACTCCCTTGAGAGACATAAGAGGATTTCCAACAAGACTGCAGACTAGATGAATGCATTACACAGACCCTCTGCAACAGAGATATGACCAAATGAAATACACACAGATGAAAATCCTGAAACCCTGAACTGCAGAGGAAAGGTGAGAGAAGTAGATTGACTATATGCTGCACGGAGAAGCTGAGCAGGGATGGCAAAAAAGGAAGACTGACTACGAAATGTCAGCCAGACCCAATGTGACTATCTTGATCTTTTGTGAGCAGAAGGTGGCCTGAAAATAAGATCCACACAGGCAATAGGAAAAGTAGAATTCCTTCTTTTTCCCCACACTCTGGTGACCAGAGGTGTGGCCAGCTCCCATCCTCATTCATCCCCAGTGCAGTCCCAGATCTCACAGAGCTTGGAACCACATAGTTGGGAGTCATGCTTGTGTGAAGACGGGCTGGCTACACCATCTTGGTGCCTGGATTCAGGATCAGTTCCAGACTGATAGAACTCATATAGCCACCGGACCAGCATTTAGTCTACCAGAAACCCTCACATCCAATCACCCTGTCTCCAACTGTCCAGTATTCCTAACAGACGCTGAAACTAGCTTCATCAAGGGCCTCCATGAACTACTTCAACAAAGACAAAGGAGACCTAACAATATAATCAATCAACTTGCCTTCATAGCTATAGACATAGCACTCAACCCAACAACAACACACTACAAATTCTTTTTCAGTGCACACTGAACATTCT